GCGGGGGAGGGGACGCTTGGGAGGGGAGAGGGAGAAGAGAGAGAGGAAATGTTTGACTTAAAATAATTCTCGGCAACAGCGTGGCTGAGGACTGTTTCCTTTGAAGTAGAAAACGTTCTACAGTAAAGATGATGAGGCCCCGTTGGTCCATTGGATTTAAGTACCAGATATTTCATTATTTTATAGAGGAAATGTCTTATAGCTCTTATTCTATTTAAACTTTACTTGAGCTCTTAATTTCTTTAACAGTTAGAATAATTAAGCCTGTAAATTCACCCAGATGATGGATGTAGCTTTGTAGCTGAGAAGTACTCCCTTTTCAGAATATTCAAATATTGTGAAAAAAGTGAACAAATTATGTGAATTAATTGTACCTTTAAACACAAAGCAAGTAAGTATTTATGAAAATTTCTGCTCTACTTGGTGCTGTAAGGTAAGCCTCAGTGATTTTACAAACTAGTTGGTAGATGGGTAGTGTTGGATGAGAGACCAAAATTGGACCTTTATATAGTTCTTTTAAGATTTACAACACATTTTCAATATATCTCAGTTTGGCCCTTTTAACTACAAATAAAGCCTGTATATAGTTTTCCGGAAATCTGAAATGACTGTAACACAGCTACTGAACAGAAATGACTGTAACACAGCTACTGAACAGAAGAGGCTGATGTGGAGGTGATGTATATGCGAAATTCAGTTTCCGGAGTACTAAAAAGCTCTTAACAATGCATCTTGTATTTTATAATTTACCCATAAAGTAGGCCTATCTTAAGTCTTGAACATTTCTGTTCAAAGTTATTGAACACAACTCAGAAGCAGCATTTATCTCTCCATCCTATGTTTATAGATTTATTATGTTGGAGAAAAGTAAAAGTCATAAAAGAGGATACATTTACCAGGTAAACAAGTTGATATATTTTAAAGAGTTTGTTCTGGTGACCTCTGATGGAAGCCGAGAATGCCCTGGACAGAGTTGGTAAGAGGGCAGGTCAGGTAACAGTGGTTAAGCATAGGACTATGATGAGGAGTGTTAAGTCAGAAAAGTTGATAAAAACAGAGTTCACGAGTACAGGATTTACCATTTTATGTTTAACATGATAGTTAAAATTTCATTTCAATTTGTCTTTAAATGTTTTTGGCATTCAATAAAGTGATATGAGAAACTTCAATTTCAGTGTTTGCCTATGATTACGTTTCCATAGAAACAAGGTCAGAACACCAAATATAAAGTACAGGCACATTGAAAGTTTGCTTTTAATGTCTTTATTTCAGACAATTTTATATTAGTTTCCCTGGAAACTAAGAAAGACCTACTTACATGTAAAACATTTTGGCTTTTCTACAGTGGAGAATTGAATTATTTGGTTATTTAAACAAAATCATACATGAATGGTCTCTGCCTTGTTCTCCTGAAACAGAACATTGATTTCTTCAAGCCATTTCAAAGAGATATTCCTAAGAATCCGTATAGATTTCAGATAGACTTAAAATGGTTTTTTTACTACCTCGCCTATCTTTATTTATCTAGCAGTATATCTGATATAACTGATGGTAGTATCAGTAAGAAAAAATGACACTAAAGTCCTGTTATCCAATTTCATTATTACTCTTCAACTTTTCATACAGCCTTTTATGTTCTGACCTTAATGAGCTTTGCTGATTTGCTGGCTAAAGGTGCTCTTTCAATTGACCCCTTCCTCCCCTCCCCCTGAGGAGTGAGTAGTGAAAGAATTGGCATTATTGGGGGAAAACCCAATATCTGAGCAATTGATCTATCCTCTTTCCAGTAGCTATTTACCTCCCCCTTTTTTTTTTTTTGCTTTTTTTGGTGACGATATCAATAAGCATTTCATGTAAAAGATTTAGAAAATACAGAAAGTCATTTACTACTTATGCTCAGAATATCCAGAACTTTTATTAATATTTTGATGTTGATTCTTTCTGAACCTTTTGTAGGCATATAAACATAATAATTTATTTTACAAAAATGATGTCATTCTTTATGTGCATCTTTGTAATAAAGTAATGACAAAGCTCCTCAAACTGTGCTTGACACCTAGAGAGTGCTCCAGGATGTATTTGCATGCAATTACATGGAGCTCTACTGCATGCCTTTTAATAACTGTTTAACATACCATCAAATAGAATATCATTCATTCACCCACTCTTTATGATTGGGCATCTTTTAAAGTGAAACCATACACAATCCCATTATAATGCTTTATTCTGGGGACACAAATAAAAACAGATGCATTGTACCTCCCTGTAGATCAGATGATATACTTTCTTATAACGATTAGAATGTTATTTTGTAGTTAAGGTATTTTAACGTTAAATGTTCTTATCCCAAATTAAAGTTACCATTGGTTTTTCATTGAACATTAGAGCTCTTTTAGGTTTTTGTGGTTCTTGGTAGCCTGTCTTGTGTCCTTAATTCTGAATAACTCAGTACTCTAAGTGATCAGAAGGTAATGTTGTCTTAGGCAACAAATCAAATGACAGCATTAGATGAAATCTTAGAAGATATGGGGAATTAGGAGAAACTTAACTGGTTCGGGGTACACTGAAACATGTTTACTGAGCACCATTCCAGATGCAGGACAGTGGTATACAAGACAAAGTCCCTTCCCTAACTCATGTCCTTACATTCTAGAGGATCCTGGGGCAGACTACACATGAACAGTCTAGAAAGCCAGGTAATGATGGGCTAGGAAGAAAGTAAAAGAGGGTAATGGACTGAGGAGGAGGACAGTTTTACCTGGGCGGTTAAAGACATGGCTCTCTTTAAGTGACACTGAGCAGTCCTAAAAATGAGAGGGAGCCATGTGAGGATGTGGAAGAGGCTTCCATACAGAGTTCACTGAGTGCAGGCAAAAGACAGACATAGGGATGGCTGCAGCAGAGTGAAAGGGATGCCAGGAGAAATATGGTGAATTAAGACCTTATATGCCTAGTGGGCTTTGACAAAAAGTAGGACTTATAGTTTAGTCATAATAGGAAACCATTGTAGGATTATATGCAGGGAAATGATGTTAATTCTTGAAAGAAAAAACAAAAAAGAGAAGCTACTGTGTGAGAATAGATTGTAATGCAGGCAAGGGTAGAAGTAAGGAAACCGGGTAGAAGGCGGGTAGAAGGCAGTAGTTCAGATGAGAGCCAGTAGTGGCTTCAATAAAAACAAAGGTCTAAAATAGGCTGACTTAAAGAAATTAAGTGAATCTATAAGTAGGAACAAGATATGAATGAACAAGATATGAAATTAAGTGAATCTATAAGTAGTCACAGAAAAAATATAGATTAAATATGTCTTCACGTATAAGTGAAATGCAAAATTAAACTACACTGTAGTATGTCTCCATTTGGGAGAAAAATCCATGACCTTGACAGTGCCTTCTTTGGTAAGGCTGTGAAGAAACAGTTACCTTTATATATTGCTGATGGAAATGCAAAATGGATCAACCTCATGAAGGGGGGACGTTGGCATAATCTCACAACAATGCAAATGCATTAATCAAATCCTTTGAGGAATTTATCCTGAAGACATACCCCACAAGTATGAAACCACATATTCACAAAGTTTTTGTTGCATTATTTAAAAAAAAATATTGGAAATAACTCATGGCCAGTAAAGGACATAAAATAAACTGGTACATCTACACAATGGAGAATTATAGAGCAGTAAAAAAATAAGAGTCCTCTTTACTGCTATGAAGTGATCTCCAGGATAAGTTACATGAAAAAAGCAAGGAGAGGACATATAGTATTCTACATGACAGAAGCAGGGGAAATATGTTTTTTCTTTTTAAAAAAATGGGAGAGATTCTTGCTAATTTTTAGACTATTATCCCTTTCCTTTTAGTGGGTTGCCAAAGCACATACTTGCTTAAGATGATATTTTTGATTGTGGGTAATGAGTGGACATTTCATACACTTTCCAATGAAATGCGTAATGTCACTTTCTGTTTTTGAGTTAATTTGTGAAAGCTGTTTTGTCATTTATTGTGCTTTATAGAATATACACTACTCTTGTATTTCATTTGATCCTCAATGTTTTGAGTTAGGTAGCATAGGAATATGTCTGTTTTACATAGAAACAGAATTTATAGAATTACCCATTATGTAATAGCAACTTTTAGATTACTATGTTTTTTCTCACTCCCTTTTTTTAGTATATTAAGATAAGCTTTAGGGTTAAAACAGTAATGCTGCATAATGTGAAATGAAATTAAGGTAAATAGCAACCCAAAAGATGTTCTTAAAAGTCCAAGAAACTGAGCAAAGTACTTTTTAGAAATATATAAAAGGTATACTTCACTGTATGACATGTCACATCTTAGTCATAGTCATTAAAACACGGATTGAGGATTAAAATAAGGCAAAACTGAGAACCAAGGAGGAGGCAGCTGTTGAAGTGGATTGAAAGCCAGGGTTAGGATTGTCAGAGGCTAGAAAAGCGGATGCGAGGCTCATGTGAGCAGTGGGGGTTGCGAAGGTGGGGAGTGGGGTGGACACAGGAGCGTGCCCTCTGGTGAGACAGGCCAGCTCAAGACCTTCAGGTAGGAATTACCTGACCTTGGTGGGGGGGGAGGCGGGGCGAGGTATGGAGAAGTGTGAACTCTTACATGTTTGTATTTTGGGCCGTAAAACTAATACAATGTATTAGTTTTAGTAAATGCAGGAAGCCTTAATAAACAGGTGCCCAGCAGTTGGCCCAGAAACTGCTGATATTTCTATTTAATTGGAATATATTGAAATTAATATGTTGAAATCAATGTCTTTCTGAAGAAGGCTGGTTCTGTTAGATAATTTCTTGGTCACCACCCTCTCCCCTTCACATTTTGACGAGGAAGAATCATTTATTGAGAGTTAACAATGGCATTTTAACACTTTTAGCCTTTAGTACTGCATTTCGTTTGTTCTAAATTGCTTATATTTTCACATCTGTGCAATTGAGATGGATCTTAGAACTGATAGAATCTTAAATTCGAGAAAAGTAGTATTCAATATCAGCAGTGTTTTACAGATTTCTTCTTAGGAATATTTGCATTAAGACTCCTAGAGTTTAATTTTTTTAAGTCATACTTTTCCTACATCAACCTATCATGCTGTCAAGTTAAGTTGTAATTTAAATTGATAGTACAAAAGTGATGGGACTTAACATGCAATATTAATCATAACCCCTAATCATGAGCTCAAGAATATTTCTCCTAAATTTAAAAAAGATAACATTCTTGGAGGTTTCTAAAGAAATATTTTTTGGAAGGATTCACTTATAAGATGAACAGTAATTTCCTGACATCTCTCTAAATCACTTTGTGCATGCATGCATGTGTGCGTGTTAGAGGGGTGGTAATGCTTTGTTTAATAGTTCGCAGTCTTTTGTGATAATGAAAATAGTGTAGTACGATTTATCATTGTCTCTTTAGGCTCTTGGGAAAACAGTTAAAGGACATAGCAGAAATACTAAGTGTATATGTGAATTTGCTGTCTAATGGCTTAAATATCCATTCTATAAAATAATGATGCAGTACATAGCAAAAAGTTCAAGTTACATAGAAAATCGTTGTGGGCTATAAACAGAACATTATGAAAGCCTCATGCAAATTGACAACATTAGGGCCCTAGTGGTTACAATACATAAACTACATACAAATGATAGGCAACTCATAGAGGTGGAAATAGCACTGTTAACTGTGGGAAAATAGTCAAACTGTGTAATCAGAGAAATGCAAATTAGAGACACTGAGGTTCCTCATTCACATCAGTAAGTATCTTTTCAAGTATCCAAAGCTGGAGGCGGGGGTGGGGGGATGGATAGAAGCTAAAATAGTATGATGGGTAGCATTATACACTAATAGGCCCCCACCTTTTTTAGAAAGCAACTTAGTATACTTTGAGCCATGAAAACGATCTAACTTTTTGGTCTAGTTATCTTATTTTGGAGCTCTTTCCTAAGGAAATAAATTATCAAAAAAACACTATACACATGAAGATTTTCCTAACAGAATAGAACTTTGCAAGTACCTAAACTCCAACAATAGGAGATTGGCTACGTAAAGTATAGGAGTAATACTTGATTGGCCATTATGTATCCATGAAACAGTACATATGCTGCAGTGGAGCGTAGATCACTAGATAGTTACAAAATAGGACATAAATTATACACTGATTAGAGTTTTCTTTTTAAAAAAAGTATAAGAAAAAAACTAATAGTAATGATAGTAATGGTTGTGAGTTTATGGGTAATTTTTAAACAAAGCATTATTTTGGCTCTTGCAAATTTCTGTTCACATTTATTACAGGAATGAGCAAGCGACTTTTACATATTCCCACCTTTAGTGTGATCATTGATACTGTTGATTAGGTCTCTTTCAGTTGTAAATTAAACAAACTATCTCAAAATTAAAAATTTTTTTTAAAGTATTGTCTTTAATATAAGGAGAGTTCACAGAGTAAAATTCAAGGTACTCTTTGAAAGCATTTTCAGAAATTAAATGATCTCAGAACTTGTCTTGGTTCTGCTCTCCTGTGTTGATCTTTCTTGAAAAGGCTTTTCCTTCAGGATGGCAAAGGTGAGTGAGCCTCTGTAGCTCCAGACTATCCAAGGGTGCTTGAGTACAACTGTGCCTTTCTCTTGTGGTTCTTGCGTCATCCCAGGGCAGATTGATTGGGCGTGTGGCCACCTTGAAGGTAGGGTAAGCAGGGAGTCCCAGCTTTTTTCTTGTCACTTAGGCTAATTTTGCTTTTTTCCCCCTGCATGTTGTCTTTTCTTTTTATCCCAGCCTTCTTGATTTTTGTATTTAGATTCATAGTAGCACATCTTGGTTTGGGGCAGATAGGGAGGGAGGGAGGAAGGAAAGGAGGGAGAGATGGTGAGAGACAGTATACCTACTTCTTTGATACTGGTACTTAATTTTCCTGGACTCCCATTGAAAACTTTTAATTAAACTTTATCGTGCCATAGGTACTGATACATAATATGGCTACTTTTGCTTATTTTTCAGATTCAAACGTGTTATATTTGCTTTCTTTTTAGTAGGAAGTAGTCTTGAATCCTTTCAGGAGCCCGAGGTTTGAAGCAGCTGTGAAAGTCTCTGCCTGTCACTTTGTGCACAACTGAATTAATTTTTCTAAATAGCTAATGTCTCATTTTTCAAATATGTGGGGAAAAAACCTTTAAATAATTTTATGGCTCTTTTACATAAAAATGTTGAAAAGAATAGTTTTTCCAAAAGCAGTTTAATAAACTTGAAATTCAGTGAAGGAATTTCCTTGAAGAACAAAGCAATTGGTTTAGCTATATAAATTTCCAGTGCTGGCAATACCATTAAAATGGATGGTTCAGATTCCTGTTAAACCAGGAAGTCCCAAGTATGTTTGTGCAAGATTCTAACTGTATTACTTATAGGAAAAAAAGGATTCTAGGTATATAAATTTGTGAAATGCTGAGTTAGACAGTATTCACTACTAGACTGACTAGTTTTTAACATATCAGTGTGCATTTTTATTCTCTAAGAACCAGGGGTATAATCTATTTAGATTTGACCACCAAACACCCTTTAAAAAAATAGAACCGTTATTTGTGGTTTGGGAAATACTGCCTTAACCATTACTCTATCAGGATCTTGGTCCACTTTCTTACAAGATTGGTTAAGCAGTTTGAGATGGACATTGCTGAGGAGTATTATAAGGTTTTTTGTTTGTTTGTTTGTTTTAATTACAACTTTATTATTCCATATGGTGGCAACCTTTGTCCTATGAAAATTCAAACCCGTTTTGTATTCTTGCCTAAATAGACTATCCTGCTTTAGTGCAAGGTGGACTGCAGGCTGGCCTACCTTTACATAGATACAGCCAATTTTTTTTTGTAAACAACCCTATGATCAGCTCCAGAAAGTATTCTTATTGAAGCCCCAAATTAATCATATGTCATGGCAGGAAGAAATGAGAGTTTAGCTTTGAAAATTGAAGGCAAAAGTTAAAAATCACTATCATGAAAGTGTTCCTATAGATTAGAACATCGAACTTTTATGCCGTCCTTTTAAACCTGCCATGATGAACAGCTCCCAAATAAACCACAGCTAACTAAATAAATTCATTTGTTAAGTGGAATTAGAATTAGCCTAAATGTCTAAAGAACATTTGCCAAAAAAACAAACAAAGAAACAAAAAACACCTCACTTGTTTTGGACATATTTGATATATTAGCTGGTATCTGATAGTAATGAGCCACAGCATAACTTGCTTCTTGAGACTGTTCCTGGAATGTGTTAGTAATACCAGCACAATGGAGGAGGGTAACTATATTCCTAATTGATAAGTAAGAGAGGGAAAGGACATATATGATTCATCTAAAAGTTTTCCTAGATTATTTAGGTACAAGTTTAAAAAAAAAAAAAAGTCTAAGACATAGCCTGGCTTTATTCCACACATATGGAGAAATTCTACAATTTTGCACTTTCCCAGTAGAATTTTTATATTGTTGCCTTTACTCAAATTGGCTTGTTATTGTTCCTAAAAATTCTTCCCAAAACTGTTAAAAGTGTTTAAAATTAAAATTGATTATTTTAAAGATCATGTACTTTTCTACTCAACTAAATTATCACACCTTTTTTTCTTTTTCCTATATAGACTTAGCTTTGGAATCCAACCCTTCTGACCACCCAAGGGCAAGCACAATTTTCCTGAGCAAATCTCAAACAGATGGTAAGACAGTATTTTTTTCCTCTGAGAAAAAGACTGAAAACTGTTTTTGTTTTGTGTATTTAGAAAGTATTTATTATAACCCATACATTGGTTTAAATGTTTCACTTTCTCATGTATCCACTTGTCTTATTTTAACATGTGATGATACACTTTGCTTTGTCACCGTTTTAGCTAGAACAGGTAGATTGTTAAACACTTTGCCACCTCTGTCAACTTAGTCAGCTGGCCACATGATTTAGATGTGGTCTGTTTCTACAAACTACTGTGTCCTTTTCCTCTTGCTCCAAAGAGCACACATTTTAAGGATGAATAATAGGATTTAGGTCACAGTTAGGTTTTCGTTTGAACAAATCAAAAAAATAAGTTTATATATGAGGGTTGAATTTGTGATTTTGGCCGCATTTTACATAGTGCTCAACCAAATGATCCTGTCTGCATCCAGATTTATGCTCCAACCTAATGTAGTGCTGTGCTAGGGTACATCAGAGCAAACATGCCCTATGGAGTTTCCCAGAAAGTAACCTCAGCGTATGAAACTAGTGTGAATTTCCTGTGTTCTGCTTGTTTTAGGATAAGAATCGGAACTGTAGGATTTTAACATCCCTGCTTACCTGCTTATTTTCCTTAGTGTTATGTTAAGTTTACTTGCTTAAAAAGCCATACATGACCAAATTTTCCAGTTGATTATGACCACAGGAATACAAGAAGCGAGGGTTCCATGAAGTAATGTAACACAATAAAAAAACAGGAGTTTCTAATCTGCGTTTTCATTGCGTGTGTACTTTTCCTGTCTTAAGCCAATCATTTTTGGTTAGGATTGCTGTATTTCCTAGTTTCTTCCAGAGCCATGGGCTGTTCACACGTAGAAAGAGAGTGGAGACAGTAAAAGAAAAACCACCCCAACCCCTTTCTCTTCAGTCGTAAAAAATGCGTGCCTATGATGCTCATCCTGCATTAAAAGTGCAGCCCCAGACCCTCTTTGGAGCTTTTATTCTCTTCTGGCCTTTGTTAGAGCAAAGTGATTGTGTTTGCTTGTATATGTGTTCAGTTAGGTTAGCACACTCACTTTCAAATTTAAATTTAAGATAGGTTACTTTCCAATTGAATAAAGAGCCTTTTGTTTTTTAAGAAGACATTTTAGTTGATTACCAGTAAGTGGTTCAGGATGCTTCCAGAAATGTAGGTACATCTAGTCTTAGAGCTGTCAAATGTTAGATCCTGATAATTCAAATAAGCTGGGTGTAAATGTGGAATATGAAGCTACTACTGAGTAGTGGCTCAGATGTGGAACAGGGAAACTTTATTTGCTCAGTTTCTCACCTGGCCTAATTTGCTTTGTCCTTTTCTCTGGTACATGGAGAGTCTTTCATTTGTACCTAATATAGACTATTTGTTAGGTCAGAAAGTAAAGCTAAGTTTTTACATTTTACTTTATGGGAATTATCTTGCCAGATGATTTAAATTATAAATTTTGTTGGAAATTATTTAAAAATGAAATAGAATTTTGTCTCGTTTTGTATGTTGGTAATCCATCACATAATTAGTAACTACTTTTATTTTTCTATGGCATTTGTATCAGAATTGATCAGTTAATTTTTTTTATTCTCAGTGCGAGAAAAGAGGAAGAGCAACCATTTAAACCATGTAAGTAAACAGTTGAAAAGTTAAGAAATTAATAGTTTGAATTAAAAATATGTCTGCCATGATTTCTAAAAAATATAATGGACTCAGTACCATTAGACTGGACCTGTTTTTGTAGATTTTTCTGAATCTCTTCTGTTTTCCTCATGAGCAAATGTACATAGTCAGGAAAGTCATTGTCTTAGTAATGCCCATTTTTTAAAGATTCTGACAGTTAAATTTCAATAACATGGTTGTGGTATAAAGATCTGCCTTAATTTTTAAATCTTATTTAGTAACAAAAGTATAACAGCTAAGTTAATTTTTAGCTATTGATTTCCTGTCATAGCAGGTGCAAGCTTAGCTGCCTCATTTCACTGTGGACTTATTTCCCTCCCTCTGTTCCTTCAGCATGTATCATGGTTGTTATTAAATCAAAATGAATGTTTACATTATAATTACTATGCAAATATTGTTCCTTGCCATATCGTTCTCTGGCTGTGCTTCTTCCTTGTACATCCTTCATTCTTTTTCTTAAATATTACTGAAATCTGAGTGCTTCTGCACTTCTCCAGGACGATCCCTCCTTTCTAGCCAACATGATTGCACATAGCCATATGCAGTAAGTAAGTAGGCTGGTCTCCCAGCTTTCAAAAAATATTTTTGGTACCTAACTAGTAATTTGACAGAGAAAGATAGCTCTCAGGAATACTACATTTATGCTGTCTTAATACCTAGTAATTCTTCAGTTTTGCATGTGTAGAATTAATTTCCTGACTGTATTCACTTGTCTGTTTTCTAATAGCTATTTTTTCCCCCAAATGTAACATTTGTCACATGCCTGTCAAAAATATTTTCCGTCTACTAAACACATCTGTTCCATTTTTTTCTTGGAAACAATATTCCTCAGCCTGTTGTTATCCTACTTCAGTACAGACTGAAGGTTTTCCCTAGGCCTGCTCTGTGTCGTTTTCCTGTCATATCTCTTCAAAGTCATAACTGCTCTGAGATCTCACATAACTGCTCTCTTGTGTTGGATCCTCTATGTCCTAGATTCTATGTTTCCCTCTGTCTCGTACTCCCTTGTTTTACTGGAGCACATTTCCCTAGGAAAGGGTAAATGGGCAGACTTTTTTAGAGATCTAGCCATTCTGAAATGCCTCCTATTTGATAAAGTATAGAATTCTAGGTTGAAACTAATTTTTGCAGTTCTGAAGACATTTCTGCTATTTTCTCATTTATAGTGTTCTCTTAAATCTGTTGCCGTTGTATGATGCATTTGTACAGTACCAATTTTAGTCATCCCCCTACCCTCATCCCTTCCTGCTCTGGAAACTTTTGGTACCTTCTCTATCCCTGGGATTCAGAAATTTCAAAATATGGTTTGGTATGGATCTTTTCATTCTATTGAGGTCATTAAGTCTGCAGATCTTTCAGAGAACGTTTTTTGATTATTTGATATTTTTTCTGTTTCTTCTTTTTTCTAGTATTCCCGTTATTTAGATGTTGGAACTTTTAGATCAGTATTCTTGCACAGATCTCTTAATTTGTTTCATCCTTTTATTTTCCATTTTGTCTTTTTTTAATTCTTGGTGAGTTCCTTGACTTTATGCACCAACCCTTCTGTTGAACAGTTTGTTTTGTTTATCTTATTTTTAATTTATAGAGTTCTCTTAAATTCTGTCATTCTTTTTTTTATAGCATTTGATTCTTTCACCAATGCAATTTCTTGTCTTTCTGAAAAAAATTTTTTTTTAATTTTCATTTGCTCCTGAATTTTATCACTCCCATTAATTTTCTTCCTGTTTCGATCTCTCTCACTCATTGGTTATTGGCTTCCCCCAAATGTGTGGAGGTTCCTGGCTATCTCTTAAGATATAATTGGAAGCACCAGGAACAAGCAGAGTTTTTGTTAACTGACAGGCCTCTAAATTCTGAGCCTGCCTTGGGTTCTGTAAGACAGACTGGCTTTTTTTTCCTGTTCTGGCTGCTCCGTTGGAACCAAGATTGTGCTTTCTCTGTTCTCTCGTGTCAGTTACTACTCTATCTAGACTTTAGCTTTTAAACCTTAAAAATCACCTGCTGTTTATCTTGTATTGTGTATAAACTTTTTAAAATGTCTTTAATTCTAGTAAGATATCTCTGAAAGGAAGAGGAGAAGAAATAGATTTGTGGTCACTCCACAATGTTTAACTTAGAACCTAAAATTAAAGTGTAAATCAAAGTGTAAAGTTTTAATTGAATACAATTAATGATATTCAGAGAATATTTTTTGGTTATACCTGTAATTAGCATGTTATACTTATCTACTAAGGCCTTGATTAAGAATCCTATTCAAACTGTGCACCCTGACATACCGTCCTATTAATGTGCAACATAGAGGGTGCAGTTTTTATAAATGCATAAAGTGTTAGAAATTTTTAAGTCAATTTAAAGTCATTAATTCTTAATGTCCAAACTTATGAAAAAGTAAAGAGAAAAAAGCAAACTTCAGCTTCATTTTTTAATGGGTTAAAATGAGGCAATAGGCATAATGGGTGGGGGGCAGGATTTCAGCAGATACTTAACCTTTGATGGTAAGGTTTTGGTTGTGACTTTTTAAACCTCTAGGTATGATTATTTTCCTAGTCTTTGCCATTGAATGTTAAGTCTACGAAGTAACCCCTTTTCTTTCTTGTAGAGATTGTAAAAGTCCATCTATTCTGTTATTCATGCTGAATGAATGAAAAACGTACTGTTCTTTGTCCCTGTCTATTCTAGTGACCAGTTGAAATATTATGTATAAACACTAAACCATCAACAGTGTTTTTGGCTGTTTGGTTTATTTATTTTTTTTAGTATTTTCATTTTATATCCTTATATTTGTCATTGTAGTTTATTGAGCTTGTGAGCCAGCAGTGGTAAATCTTTAACCATAAAGGAAAATTGTCTTAATTTTCAAGCAAGATGAGAGAAAAGTAACCTGCAGGCAGCCAGTATATCCAGGCTTTGCTCAGAGGCTTAATTCGGCCATCCTCTAGTGAATAGTAGATACTTAATACTGAAAAGATTGAATATTTGGGAGTTGGCCCATACTGATGGGGGAAGTGTTCAGTGTTTCTTTGGTTGGATCTAGCCAGCAGACTGTAAGTTGCTGATTTACTAATTGAACCCCCTGTTGGGCTATAAGACCATTCTAATTAAAATTTTAAAATGTTTTAGCACTAATATTTTCAAAGACAAACCAATATGTATTCATAATAGAAAAAAATTTCAACAGGAAAATGAAAGCAAATATCACCCAAAGCTTTACCAAGTTTGGTGAATTTTCTCTCTATTTTTGCTCCCCAATACATAGGTTTTTGGTCAGAATTAACTTTATTATGGTGTGATATATACCATATTACACCTTAATAGTAGTGATATTAAAAAAAATAACCTTGCATTTAGAATAAAACTATATGAATGAATTTTCATTTTTTGTGCTACATTCGTTTTTTGAGATTCCAAGAGTAATTATATGTTAACCGAATAGCTTAAGGAACAAAAAGAATTTTAATATAGATAAAACATTTCTAGCTTGAAGGAGAATTTATTCCTCCAAATAGTGATACTTTTCAAAAATATATTTTCTGGAACTTTTTATTAATAAGGAGTAAGTGGCTTTACAGCAAAACTTGTGAGACAAGCAAAATGGTGTTTTATATAATATGTGGATATTTCTGATTATTGACTACTGGCATTCTTTAAATGCTCTGTATTTTAAAGGGCGTCAACTAGATTTTCTCCCTGCACCATCTTTTGTGTATTTGTGGGGAATGCTGATGGGAGAGTATGACAGCATGGTGAAAACTATTTTTTATTAATATGAGGAAGGAAGGCTCATCTGAATTAGTTTTAAAAAAATACAGTGAAACCAAGTATATTAAAATTGTTGGTATTCTCTGATATTAAAGAATGCTACTATTGCTTATAACTTCTTACAGTGATTGGTATTTGATTATTGGCTTTCCTTTAAGGAAGAGAATTGTCCTAACGTAGTTTAGGCTATTTCAGTATTTGATTATTACGCTATGATTGGGCTCTTCACAAATAAATGGATACTTCTAAAGTGTTTTAAAGCGTTATTCTCTAGAGGGTCTCAAAACATTCATCGTTACCTCTCTAGTACCACTGCAGATAAATTCTAATTTGTATCTGTAATAAGATTTATGTTCAAGTTGTAATTGATTTTAAATAATTTGTCATACACTTGTTGAACTCCTGATTTGTCCCAGATTCTGTGCTCTAAGCATTTCATACCATGTAAGAAGTGGTATCTTAGATTTGTGAGTGTACAGAACTGGAAGAAGTTTTGTAGTGTGGCTGCTGGCAAAGGTATCCTAGAGGTAGATGGCACTTAAGCTTACTAGGACACGGAGGAAAAAAAAAAAAAGGCATTGCAGGCAGAGAGGAGCATGACTGAGGCAGGAAAGCATCCTGATGAGTGTCAGATAACTTAGAGAATAGAATTAATAAAATTTAGAAATGAACGAACAGTATTCTCAGGGTCTCACGAGTAATGTAGTGACAGTCTTCTTTAAATATGAAATGAGAGTTAAATTCTCAGAGTTTTTTTTATCTGTTTTTGGATATGAGAAAATATTCTTTCATCCTCCAGATAAGGAAACTGAGGCCCAGAGAGACTTTTGGCCCATAGCTTGTTAGTGATAGAGCAGCCCTGGCACACACACCTCTGACTCGAAAACATTTATTTTGTCACACTGTCTCCTGAACTCATATTTATTGTTGGCTTTCATTTACTGCAATAAAATGCTTTTGCTTCAATATTATATATGGCATTAAGTTTTATTGTAGTAAATTAATAGTAGAAATAGAAAATCTCAGCTGCTTTTTATTGCTTAAGGAAAGAAAACACTGAAATCTTATTCTAAACCTTTTATATTATTATAAAGGGATTTTATAATAGGTGTTTGCCAGGTTTGATTATAGGTACTATATCAAGGGCAGCATTTTACAACCCATTCCTCAAATCTCGTTTGTGGAAGTTAGAGTATCTAATGGGTTTCCTATAGAGCTGCACATGATATCACACTCAAGCATTCATGGAGTGTTAGAAAAATCTTAATGCTTATTCGTTTGACATTTTAACCAAGGAAAAATACACTTTTATAGGTTTAACTTACTGTGACATTTTCTTCTATTTCCCTTCCCCTTCAGGTATCTCCAGGGCAGCTTACTAAAAAGTATAGCTCATGCTCAACAATATTTCTAGATGACAGCACAGTCAGCCAGCCTAATCTTAGAACCACAATAAAATGGTGAGTACAACTAGGTTGCCAAGGGCTGAGTGACAGACCCCTTATGCTTAAAGCATCCCAGCCATATGTAATTTCAGTCATTTGATTGTCCTTTTCAGTGATCAGGTTAAGAAACTGGTGTCAATTACATATTGATTTCAAAGACCTAAATATGAGTTTTCAATTTCCATTTTAATCTTAGAGTGGATGGAAGAAGGAAAAGCCAATTAGCAAATAAGAAATCTCAGAAAAAGTATATATCTTTATTTGATGCATTTCTGTTGTTAAAGGCATTGTTAAACATAATAAAAAGGAGAGGTGCTTTTTTATTGAATGTTTCTAGAGAAAAAGTATTTTTTTATGAGATAGAGGCCTCAAAGAATGCATACTACTTTGGAGGCTACTCTCAGAAGGAGAAACAGCTTGTCCCCTACTGGCACCAGAGTGTATCTGCATTTAAATTTAATTGGATTTTATCAGATTGTTCCTCTTGTGCATTTTTTTCCCTGTACTATTTTTGTATGAAAATTTACTTCTCCTTCCTATTCCCCAAAAAAGGGGGGAAATGCATCAAACCAGGCTTAAGGAACAACTTTTCAAGCCAATTTGTGCATTAAATTTGTTCAAATGAAGTTTTAATTTAATAGATACATTAAATTTAATTACATATATGTATAGATGTATATCTCCAAGACACTATATCAATCACAGCAGAAAAAAATGAGAGAGGTGAAGTTTGGGAAACATAGCCGTAGTCAGGTTTATACTTAAGCAAACATGAATAGCGTCATAATGATGAAAACTATTCCTTAATTTCTGGGAGCACTTCATAGTCCACAATTGGTGACGGACTTTTAAAAACAGCATAGGATTAACCTTTCAAGCTTATTTAAGAGAGAGAGAGAAAGAAAACAAAACAAGATGTAGAGCTTCCTGATATCCAGTAGGGCTGTCCAGTTATATTTTAAGTTACTTAAAATATAATTAGCAAAAAAAGCTAATATAATTAGCTTTTTTTGCTAATTATATTTTAAGTAACTTCCTACTTTAATTAAAAACAGCAAGTTCACAATCATAATAACGTTAACTTTCTTCTCTCACAACAAGTCTCGATCACATTGTGTTTCAGCAAAAACTGAGCCTCCATCTCTCTTTAACATCCTGAGCTTTGGCACCTATCAAGTCATCACTGAATATTTTTATTTAGCCAAGACACTAAATCCATGAGTAAAAAAAAAAAAAAAACCACTCTGCTTGGCTACAGTCCGTAGCTTCTTTTGAATTCAAAAAATTTTGATGCTTCAGTATTTCAAAAATAGTTTTAAAGATTAACCTTTCTCAGACAAATAGGATTCATGCCTCCCTCCACACCAAATTAGTCTAATTTTTAGAAGTACATAAGTTTTAATTTGCTCTTAAGTTTTAAAAATGATCATTCAATGTATTCCCTACTGGTGAAATAAGGTTTACTGACAAAATTAAATACAGCAAATTGGCTTTTAGGAATGAATTTGAAAAATGTTTATCATGAGGTAGTAGTGCATTGTTATCAGTGTGGTGGGTGAGCTATATTAGAATCAGTTATGTAACTTTTTTCAAAATATATGTCTCTCAGCACATGCCTTCCACCCCTCCTCCAACACACTCATTCACTCTCACAAACCTTTAGATAAGCTAAAGAAAGATGTGAGGCATGATTATATGGACGAAGCATCCAGGGCGACTCTGATCTTAACCTTAACTCATTTGTTCCCAAACTTTGCTGCACATTGCAATCGCCTAGGGAGCCTTAAAAACAATCTCAAGTCATACTCAATGCCAGTTAGATCAGAATGTCTAGGAGTGGAAGCCAGGTAGTTTTTTGAAGCTCCTCAAATGATCCCCGTGTACAGCCAGACTTGGGAACCACCACCTGGTTAGAGCATAGGAGAAAGAGAATTGCTTCTCACTATTGGTAGAACCTTGGGCAAGTCAGTTTTAACCCTTGGTTCCCTTATCTGTAAAGTGCATTGTTGTATTAAATGTCATCTAAGGTTCAGTGGTCTTTCTCAGCTTATATGCTTCGAATCTGTGATTTTAAAAATCTTAATTTGAAGATGAAACTGTTTGAAGCACTATAGAAGTATCCATCTTTGATGCTAATAATGTTATAGGCCTTTTAACAAACGTTAATATTCTACAGACCTATTTTTGAAATTCAGATTTGCCTTCCCTCAATTTTGAGCTTCATTCTAGACACTGAGGGCAAAGAGAAGCATATAACTTAACCAAGAGAACCTTTTTGTTGCCTATTACATGACAACTGTGAATAACTTAGGAATACAATAACTTGCGTAGTATCTGAGGACTTATATCTGCTCATTAATATTTAAACTAATTTGGAAATAACTCCTATTAATATTCAACTGTGTAGTAGTATACTGCATTGTTAGCACTGCTTATTTCAAGATAGCTAGACCTGTCGATTTTTTGGGTACTTATATTTGCTATTAAATTTTCTAATAATTATGTAAAAGTTATTTAAATGATTTTATTTGGTATAGAGCCCTTTATTTACCTTAAGGGAAATAATGGAAAATGGGTGGGTAGGTGGATAGTGTAAATCAACTGAAAAGTGGGGCCTGACAACTTTTTTTTTAAGCCCAAAAAATGACTGCATGGCTTAAATTTAAGCATGTGTACAGATAGATATAACTTGTACAGGATGAAATGTTCTATGGATAGAAGTGGAAATATGTAATAGCATATTATAATAATCAACTGAAACTTGTCTTCTAACAAACAGCATGTACCTAGCATTTTGGTTCTCCTATTTTTACTAAAAGCCAAAGAATTAAAACAGGAAAAGTGCCCATATGATACTGTTCTGAATAAGGATTTCAAAGCCACTGGGCAGCTAGGAAGGTCTTTCCCTCTACCCCATCCCAACTTCTTTTAAAAAATATCTTCAGACCTAACATGATAAAATCAATTGTTACTATTTTTTTTCCTCCACAGTGTGACCTTAGCAATATATTACCACATAAAGAACAGGTGAGTTTTAAAACTTGTCTTGTTGTTATAGATAATAAATTTACAAGTTACCAAGTTTAGTGTTAGGTAATAACTATAGACATTATTTGAGAAAGCTGTAGAGCACTTTATTACATTACTGAAGTGAATCATTTGATTGCATCTTAGTACTCAACACTAGTTATTGAGGATCCCGAAGAGTACTTGTTTATGTGGGTTATATTGATATTTACTGTATTAGAAATTAAAATCAAGAATTTAAAAATAAGTCCACTGTATGTTAAAACAGGGTTTTTATACCACTATTGAAATTTTGAGATAATTCTTTGTTGGGGGGATTTAGCAGCTCCCTGGCCTCTACTTACTAGATGCCAGTAGCACCCTCTCCTCTCACATTGTGAGAACCAAAAATGTCTCTAACAATGGCCATATATTCCCTGCAGGATAAAATCACACCTGATTAAGAGCCATGGTATTAATATAATTTTTTAATGAAAAATAATTATTTTCCACACCAAAAGAGTAGAAAGTATGCCATATATTTACGTTTTTGCAAGTCTTTTTACTGTCTGGCTTAATAGAAGACAGCTGATTTTCATGTCTACTCTGTCTTTAGTCATTTGCGGTTATTTTAGTCATTTCAATATTTGTTTAAAAGAAACAGTATGAAGAAGACCCAGCTTCATGCAGATAAAATAGCTGGAAAAAGGTGAATTTTTAAAGCCTTTAGATAATTGTGAATATTCTTTGATACTGTACCAAAAGTCCACAAGTCCTAGTTTCTAAAATTAGTTACAGCGGAATGTTAAATCATATCAGTGGATGTTGTAGTGAGTACTCTGTTAAATTAATACCCGTTGATCTATCTTGTCCTCTGAACGGATCTGTTACTTGTATGTGATTTTATAATATTCTGCATTTGTCATTTGGAAAGTATTGGTTCACATTTCTTTATACAGTGTCAAAAACTCACTTTTGTTAGTATCACCACCAACCTTATCAGAAAAGTCTTTAAGTATTGAAGGGCTGTCAGGCTCACAACAGAAGGTACAAGTTTTTCCAAATCCTGATTTTTAGCTTGATAGCTTCGATTTTATCCTTGCCAACAAACATACTTATTCTTTTTCTTGAAGCAACAGGCTCATTTTATTTATCTTTGAGAGAATGACAGTTGTACTATCAAATAAAGATGAAAAAAGTGGCTTGTTTTGCTCAAAACTAAGTCACAAGTGCCTTTCGTTAACACAACCATATTTTAATTTGCAGAAATATTTAGTACATGCTTTCCACTTATTCATAATATAAAAAGGACCAAGGTTTAATAACACTATTTTTACTGCTTTATTAAGGGAGTTCTTAACTTAAAAGCAGAATTTTTTTTCAGCTGCAAGTGTCAGTGAAGAATAGAATGACTGCTAGTACATTCTGGTACCACTGCTTTGATCTATGCTCAGAAACCAGTTTTACCCACTTTTGCTTTTATGCAATCATTGCAAATGTCAGTGTAAAATCAGGTAATGTCTTAATGTTCCCATAAAAACAGTTTTGACCTCACGGGCCTCCTGAAAAGGGCTAGGGGAACCCCTAGAGGCCTGCAGAACACACTTAAGAGAACTACTGTTTAAATGAGCACAGTATATTAGTGTGGTGAACTTTTAAATCAAAAGACTGGTCACTTTTAAAATTAAAAGACAAGTTTTTAACTCCAACTATTTAAGAGACAAGAAGAGATACACAATAAGAATATAATATAGGAAACTAATAAGAGGAAAATGGAAAAAACATGGATCTCATATTCACATGCATTCAAAATTTAAAGACATTGCCCATCAATACTACTATATAAAATGTTTTTGTATGTTCCAATGTGAGGTTAGAGGAGTGGAAATATGTATTTGGTTTACTAGCATTGCCTGTTAGGGTCGATGCTTATAAAGGCAATTCTGGAAGGCTGGTCATTGTACAAAACATTTCACAGAATTTGATGTGCTGAGTAAAATCAGGTCAGGAAACCCTCTTACAGAATCCAAGAGAAGAATTTGTAAAACTGCTTTGTTGAAGCTAAGCTCCTTTGACCCTCCTTAAGACTCCCAGCAGATGTGTTACTAAGATATTAACTATTTCTGAATTCGTTTTTTTAAATGAGCATTCTTATTTTATAGAGATGCAAATAGATCCTTGGATATTTTTGATGAGAGATCACATCCACTCACAGTAAGTGTCAATTTAATTGAGATTGTATTTTTTTCTTATACAGTTGTGTTTATTTTATGTTGATTTGCTTTGAAATTAATTACTGGAAGAAAATTACTCCCAGCTTGAAGTAAAAATCATCTTTAAGTCTTCTTTCCCACCCCATGTTATATCTAATTATTTTACAAAAGGAGTGTCGTGTAAGGGATATGACAGTAAGAATTCAGTTTCAGCTTTGTGTAATTAGTGAGCAAAAGCGAATAAACATACCCAAATAACAGAAAATGTATCTTTTTAAAAGATAATTTTCAGTAGCATCAAACAATATAAATATTTGTTAATAAATATAACAGATATGTTAAAAAGATAAATAGAAAACTATTTGAACTTTAAATCAATTAAAATTACAAAAATTTTTAAATTCACTTCCTCAGATGCTCTATCGTGACATGTGGCTGGTGACTACTTTATAGGACCAGCACAGCCTTAGAGCCTTATAGTTATAAGAAACTGAAAATATTTTTTAAAGTTGATTGAAGAGAAGACTTGGTCGTCAACAAGACTTGAGCCTAAAAATAATTTACATTTAGATGGAATTCTGTGGAGGTTAGGTGGAAAGGAACATATATACCTTTTCTGAGGTGGTTCCTGTTATTTTTCTTTAATGAGTGGTGGTGAGTATTGAATCACTAAGGTATTTTAAGATCCCATTGTTTATATTTAAAAGATTAAATGACATGTCAGTGCAATCAAAATTTTAAGGAGCATGTGGGCACAAATAAAAGACTGCTGTGGTAAGAGTATTTAAGTATCTTTCTTTAATGGATACTTACATTGCATTTTTTCTTCTTTTAGCGAGAAAAGGTTCCAGAGGAATATTTCAAGCATGATCCTGAACACAAATTTATTTACAGATTTGTTCGTACTCTTTTTAGTGCTGCACAGCTAACAGCCGAATGTGCAATAGTAACTTTGGTAAGATATTTTTTTCCATTAAGCATCTTTCCTGTCTCGTACACAGGGTATGGTTCTGTTTTTCAAATAAGTGTAGGTTCTTGAAGTGATTGTCAAAACTTTTATTAAGAGAAACCTATCAAAAGAAGTAAAATACCCACATTCAAGCTTAATAATCATTATGATTTAAAATGTTGCCATTGCTTTTCTCATCACAGAACAGTTGCTATTAAAGGCAGCAGAAGAGATTTCTGGTTTCTCCTACCACACCTGAGGACACACATGAACATGCAGTGCACACACATGTACACATACTAAGTAAGCTGGTGGGGTAGGATGGGGGCAATAACAAAACCATCTGTGTATATCTAAGCCAAGTCTCAGGCTATATTCCCTAGGCAATTCTGCTGATGTGTGTCCTGATTGAGAATGACAACCCTAAATTCTCTGTTCCATGGATGGTGGGTGTTAATTCATCCCTACTGTCCTCTTGTGTCTGCCTCTGAAGCTGCCCAGGATTGTAGTGCCAGTAGTACTTGAAAAGGATTTGCTAGTTGCCTCCTAAGCTTTAGCTGTTTAAGGACCTTTGCATCATCCATACAGAATTCCTGTGGTTAGATTTCATCATTTTGAATATAAGTCCTATCCTAGTGAAAAGTGATGGGATTATATTACTCCTCCCTATAGCAAACCTATGTCAGCTGCATGGTCTAGAGGGAAAGAACACTCAGGTCAGTGCCTCCTCCTTTAGTATTGTTAAAATTTTACTGAGGCAGCTTGTACTTTTGAATAGAGACCTTTCAATGGACACTGGATCAGACACAGGCCTTTTCACGGAGCTACCAGCTATTTGGAGTGCTTAGTACATGACGGAGAAAGGCAGGAATGGTTCTTCCACGTGGAGAGCTAGGCACTACAGGAAGGAGAACATCTGGGTTTGAAGAAGGGGAGTTCTTTGTAGATAAGTTAAGCTTGATGTACCTGCATGACAGCAGAGTGGCAGTGTCTAGTAATCATTTCAATATATGGAATTAGAGCACGAATCTGAACTAAAGGTAGAGAATTAAGAGTAGCTGTTCAAAGGCAGAGAAAGTGTCGAGTAAAAAGTGGATAGAAGATAGAATAATGACAAAAGGTTGGTATTCAGTAGGAATTTATGGAATGGCAGCCTTTAGCATGTGACCACACTCTCCTTCTTGAACCTCTCTTATTTTGGCATCTCTTTTATTATTTCCTGGTTTTCCTGCCACTCTAGTACTCCTCTAGGGACTTGTCCCTTAAGTTCTGACAGTCCTTACAAATCTAAGTGTCAAAGATAGAGGAGTAAAGTTCTTACCATTATGGAGCTTATATTCTAGTGAGGAAGATGTATTTTTTTAAATGAATGTTTTAAAAAAGATGAATATTTCAGGTAGTAGTAAATACCAGGAAGATAAAGCAAGGTAAAGTGATTATAGGGGCTTACTATTTTAGATAGAATGATCAGAAAGTGCCTCTTTAAAGAGCTAACATTGGAACCTTGACCTGACGAACTGAGGGAAGGTATAAGGAGCTCTGGCATTAGAGACAGAGGGGACACATACAAGATTCTGAGATGGGAACATGTTTTGTGTATTCAAGGGACAGCGAGGTGGCCAGTGTGGTCCGAGTGAGGAATGAGGGAAAGAACCTAGGAGATGAGGTCATAGAAGGCCCTATCTTATAGGGCCTTGTAGTTTATAGGCCGTGAAGAAGTTACATTTTTATTCGTTTGATGGGAAACCTTTGGCAGATCCTGAACAGGGGAGTGAAGTGCTCTTAAGAGGCTATCCTGGCTGCTTTGGGGAGAATAAACTAGTTAGGAGTCAGCCTGGAGACAGAGAAGTCAGAAGGCAACAGCAATGGTACAGGTGAGATTGACAGAATAGAAAGTAGAAAGATTACCAATGGGTAGAGATAACAAGAACCGCTAACAGATTAGAGCAAGCTAATTCAAATGGAGGTTTTTGGTTCCAGCAACTAGGCATGTGGCAGTTGCTGGAACCAACTTATGTTATTAGGGAAAGCTTGGGGAGCAGAGAGTTGGGATGAAAAGCTCTGGTTTATATGTGTAAAGGGACTGATGACCTTGGCAAAATTATTTTCAGTAGAGTGATAGTGGCAGGGGGCAAACTAAAGTGACGAGAGAATGGGAGATGAAAAGTTAGCATCATGTGAACAAAAAGGATACATTCTAGGAGGTGTGGGGGGTGGGATGAGAATAACAAACATTCATATTGGGGGAAATCTCTGGCAGAGGGAGAAATTCTTCAAAAAGAGGTAATTTGGGGGACTGTTTTACAGAAGTGGGATAGGATCAGCTTCACTGATAGTTAGCTTCAGTGAGAAGAAAGAAATGTCAATTGCACTGACAGGAGGGCAAATGGTATAAATGAATGAGTAATGGCACATGCCAAGTTTGCCAGTAAGGCTGACAGGAACCTGAGAGATTGCCAATGTTGTATAAGTACCTCTCATTATTCCCATAAAGAGTTGAACCTTGTATGGAGGTTCATTCTTAGGATACCTGAGAGCACTGAGTTTTGGAGAACAGGAGCAAAATTTCACTAAGAACATACAAATGTCCAATAACCATTTGTTTTTGAAAACATAGTTGGGTTTGGAGAACACTGGTAAATCTGAGCTGTCAACCTGATAATTTTCAGACAGTAAACATACTCTAAAATTGGACTTTTTTTTTTTTTTTTGGTCAAATGGCATATATACTATTCTGCAGAGCACCCTTTGAAGTAACAACAAATCACAGCTTACCTCTACAATCTTTACTCAGCTGTTAACTTTCCTCAGTTCTTTGTAGAATAGACATTTAATATATGTAAAAGAAATCATGAAATCTCACAAGGTACCTGGCAGTTTTAGAAGAGTCCCAAGAATACAGAGACTGACAGCTATATTACCACTTTAAAATCAACAGAATTGACTAAGCTTTAGATTATGTAAGACAGAGATGAACTTCATGAAATGAAATGGAGATGTGAAAATTAGGGGACTACCCTTTGTATGCATGTGTTCTATAAACAGGTACTAAGTACAGAATTCCTGACAGTCATAAAGACCGGCCTCATTTGCACTGCCTGCCCTGCTGCACCACACAGCAGCCACTGGGAGGCTCTCTTGACCACCAGTTTTTATCTTCAGCTCTTGCTACAAAAGAACTAGTTACTGTGAAAAGATATAAAATGTGCCATTATCAAGGATTAATATATTCATATAACACCAGCTAGGTATAATACAGTGCATGTGGTAGGCACTCATTTATTGAACAACTTGAATCTACAGTGCGCCTGTATATGCTGACTTTTATGAGCGGGGAGGTAATAACACAATGCATGTCTTCAGGATGTCCTTTGCTAAGATATCCATTCATTCCTGTGACAAAATTGGGCTGGAAATTCTCATGGGCAGAGTAGGCAACAGAAGTGTCCGACATGCAACTGTGACCAGGCTTCTGGCTTGGGTGGCCAAACAAAGTCTCTGTAGAACCTAAGAATAAAAGGCATGTCAAAACAGATGAAATCTGTCATTCCTAACAGTTCTTATCACAGCACTTTAGCTGAACTAAAATCAAAGACCAGTGCTCTACTTTTGCAGGTTTACTTAGAAAGACTTTTAACTTATGCTGAGATCGACATTTGTCCCACTAACTGGAAAAGAATTGTTTTGGGAGCCATTCTTCTTGCCTCCAAGGTTTGGGACGATCAGGCTGTGTGGAATGTGGACTACTGCCAGATCCTCAAGGACATTACAGTTGAGGACATGTGAGTTTGTAAGGTTTTGGTGAACTTTCTAACCATTTCCCAATACTTCGTTTGCCCCCCATAAAGTTTACATTTTAAGAAACATTTTTAAAGGTTATATTGTGCTGAGAACTGAAATAGGCATAAAATTACATACTACTTTCTATCCACCTGTGGTGTAACAATTCATAGTCCTCATCATTAATTGGTAGGTCTTGATGTGTTGTTGTTGTAATAATCTCCTTGATAATTTGAACTGTATTTCTTTGGTGGTTTTTGGCAAACATTTTACAAGTATTACCAGAACGATAGTGCAGTAATTATCTTCATGGCTTTCTTAAAGCTGAGTACCAGTTCTAGTCCATTTTCAAGGGGCGTATGTCTGACCTTTGAAATAAATGTTTGACCACTGTTAAGGTCTTGGGACCTCTAGACTATTGAGGGCGGAGTATAGCTTCAACTTGAGTCACACATTGTGTATTTCTTTTGGCTGGGTCTTACCCTCTTTTTTATCTGAAGTTCTGCTGCTACAGAAACCACGATAAAAAATATAGGCACATGTAAAGGTTTCAGATTGCTGTGTTTTCTCCTCCCCTTTTAATGCACATGTTTAAAAATAGGTGTTAATGAGTTAGGAAGCTCCTACCTCAGGCAGTCCAAGAAGCGTCACTGGGCATCACCTGGTGCACATCCCATTTGAGAGTTTCCCGGGGGCACTCAGCAACCACAGCAGTACGTGTGGGGCTGTAGGATAACCACGGCGTGCTCCTCACATACGGCATAGTAACATGGGTGGCATGAAACACCAGACTAGACAAGGGCTTTCATCCTGGCCACCCTGGCTGCTGTGAAGGTCCTTGAGAGTGGTAGGCAGGACGAGCTGGAGAGATTTCCAGCAGACTCTCAAAGTGCCCATTTGACAGTGAAAATGTCTTGGTGGGTGGCATTTAGGAAAATGTGAAAGAACACCTTTTGATTATATTGAACAGCACAGGAAGATCAAGATCATGGCAGGCAGTGGCAAGAGTTTATTTTTGTTACTTTTGCCCATTACTCTATGTAAGACTCATTCAGAATTACCAAAGTGCATATTTACAACTGAAGTGAGGATACTTGTGACTAAGAGAAGGCACCAGTGATTGTCAGTAGCCGTCTTAGTAGCTTTTGGTGACAGCGCCCACTTTGATAATAATAGAAACTGAGTGGTCATGGTGATATTGCTTATAGCCACTTTAGCCAATAGTATGACAACAAATAATGAATTTGAAACAAATGAAAGTACTTTTGGAAGTTGCAGAAGCTAAAATGACTTTGATCACCATTGTCATCAGTCTTCAGACTTGAAAAAAGGGAAAATTTATTATCATGAACACGAACCCTGCCATGATGGCAGCTGAAAATTTCTCAAAACCTACAATTAAGGTGGTTAAGACTCTGGTTCTAGTTATAACGTGCAGAGAAATGTGTGGGTTTTCACAGATATGAGCTCCAGGAGCAGTAGTGGCAGTGTGTAGCTACAGGAAGACTAGTTCTAAACAATGCTGTTTGTGTGTGAACAGAGAAACACCAGGAGCTATGTTTATAATAGGCTGCTTTTGTTTATGATCTTTGGAAATTGGAAGACATTACAACAGTGTTTAGTATACATTGGTTTTGTCCCCCTGCTGTTGACTACTATTCGTAATCTCATTTTGAGTCTAAATTGAAAAATTGGTGTCTGCCAGTTTTTTCTTAAGACTTTCCAACATCTGTGTGTCTTTTTAGAATATATTCGCCTTCAAAAGAATAAGTTAAACTGAGCAGCTGCTATTCAGAAAATTTGCTATGCCTGTAAATGGTATGCTATTCAGCCATCTAGCCTTTGAAAAAAACAACAACAACAAAAAAACCCAGAAGATGCATATTCTGTAGGCATAATGCTTTTCTTCAGTGATTAAACCTCTATTAATAGACATGTTAATCCTATGAAGTACTGTATTTCTACACAGTTAAAATGTATTAGGGGAGAAAATATAAAAGGGATACTGAAGTGCATTTATTTCTGTAGTAAATTAAGTCCTGATTAGCTGATTATCAAAACATCTGATTTACATTTCTATAGACTTATGGCCATATGAACAGGAAATTAATTTTGGAAGTAGGTTCAGTAGAGTTTAAAGTTCAGCAAATGTAGAAAACCTCATCACTGCTCACATTCTGACTGCTCTCCATATAGGAGAATATCAAGTGTTGACCTATCCAATGGCTAAAATATTAAAACTTTAACACTAAGAAACCAAATATGTTAAAAAATAATCTTTTAAGTTTGTTCATGTAGTTCATCATTTTTATGTAATTAACTGTCTATAACAGGATTACTGTTAAAGTGGTACGATTTACTCTAAGTTTATATTTATTTACTTAAACACTTAACAAGTGACAGCAGCATGGTCACATAGCAAAAGACTGCTCCCAACATTTCCCTTTCTCACTTTATTGCACTTACCCCCTGTGGGTATGTTTCCATTCTGTTCTGGCAAGGGGTGGTGGATGCTGAGCATCTCGGCATTGCTTTCCCAACATGGCAGAAACACTGTTTGAGTTTGAGTCCAGTGCTCTATTATCTGAGGTCATGTCTTAAAGTGGGTTTAGCCCAGCTAAGACATCTTCATTTAATCTTTCTTCCTTCCAGAGTTTAAAAAGTGCATACTGCCCTGTTATAGTGACAGCTTCTTACCCTATTAAGGTTAAGGTGAACAGAAACTTGCATTGTGCCCTTTGACATGAGCCCATGTACTGGGGCAGGGGGAGGGATTCCCTTTCCTATCAAATGTAGCTTATTTATTTATTTATTTGAGATGAATCCTTGTAGCCTCAAGAGTTCTTCCCCCTCAGAGATAATAGCAGTGGCTCTAGATGGATCCATTTGTTGCCGTGGTGATGTGCCCACTCCTTTTGTTGGTGCGTCTCTACTTCAATAAGCCCCTTCCTGTTATCTGCCGGGTGAAAATGTCTGCAAGTTCTTCAGAGCTAATAAACAGCATACATCATTCCTTTCATCTGATCACTGTTAGTGGGGCCTTGTGAGTAAGTGTGGAGCATGAATCGTACAGCTGCACTAATGGAACTCTAAAGAATGAGCCCCCGAGTCAGCAGCACAAGTGTACAAGAGGGCCATAACCTTTTCCCCCTTGTCCCAAACTCAAATGCTGGGATGCAGAAAGGAACAGATAGCTGTACCTTGTTTGAACATTAGTGTGTTAATCCATCTGGGTAGCCTTCATTTTGTTCCAGAACAAAATTTAGAGCCATCCTAGTAGCTCAGAATATTTTTGAAGATAGTCCAGTTGACTAAAATTGTCCTGTATTGGTTTTGTTGTCTCCTCCTCCACCAGGAATGAGATGGAAAGGCATTTTCTGGAGCTACTTCAGTTTAATATTAATGTTCCTGCCAGTGTTTATGCCAAATACTACTTTGACCTTCGCTCCTTAGCAGATGACAACCACCTGAATTTTCTGTTTGCTCCTCTTAGCAAAGAAAGAGCACAGAACCTAGAGGTAAGGCTGTGGAATCACTAAGTTTTTCTGTCAGTCACCAAAGCCAATGTCTGTGAATAAATTGTATTAAATAGTGATTAAGAAAATGGAAAGCTTTTTAGAATTACCACGTTGAAGAGCTTATTAACCCTTACACATCATACTTCCAGTGTCTTTTATGGTACCTGTTTTGTGACCATAATTTAGAATATTTTAAATCAAACTAATCTGTTCTTAATGGTTTTCCATTTGAAACTCTCTCCCCTTTCTATATAACTGTACATGAATAACTTCTTACGATTGCATCAATAATCATATCTACATACATAATCTACTTACCATTCTTAACTGTCTTACTCAGTTTGCAAATTCATGTCTGTTTTCTATATACTTATAAATGTATGTATGTTTCAAATGGTATAGAAAGTACATGGATTTTTAATGGAAATGGTAATGTACATGGGACAAAGAATATGGCTTATGACTTTTGGTGAGTATACAGCAAAATTATTCACAACTGAAATGGACACTTTTAAATACTTTCTGTGGTACCTTGGTGTTACTTTAGAATAAAACGTTTTTCTACCATAACTTACCATAACATACTTAATGTGCAAGTGAAATAGCTCCTTTTGGTGCTTGTTATTAGACCTCTCCTACCTTTCAATAAAATACAGCACACACCTGCCTCATTAAAATTTGCTTAGAGTGTACAATAACTAATGAAGATTAGATAGAATTTGACTGAGTAAATACTGATTTTACCCAAGTGTTATGTACATTATGTTTAAGGAACATAATGTTCCTGTGTGCAGATGATATTGCTGTTAGGAGCCTATCACAATGCTTTTGACATCTTTAGAACCCAGCTTTTAAATCTAAGTACCTCTTTGCTCTGGCAATCTAATTATAGCCCCTAGAGGATCTACCTTAATGAATTAGCAGGAAGTAGCATCCCCAGAACTTGGCAGTGTAGACCTTAGCTACTCAAAGTGGTAGTAACTATGAACTATCCAAAGGAGTGTGGATGTGGGGCCTGTCAGTGATGCTTTTTATTATAAAGTCGGAATCTTTTTTTAAAAATGGTGCTTGTGTTCTGTTTGCCTTTCCTAGGCCATTTCCAGATTGTGCGAAGACAAATACAAAGACCTATGTAGAGCTGCTATGAGAAGATCTTTCAGCGCTGATAATTTCATTGGTATTCAGCGCTCTAATGCCATCCTCTCTTAAAGGAAAAATGAGAGGCTGTAACATCATGAGCCTCTCACCTACAAGGACTGGAGAAATATCACTTCTCCTGCTCAAAAACCAGCAATGTTATAGTATTTTCACCTAAAAGACAAGACATCGAATTCGAGAGACTCCTAGATTGCAAGGACTATGCTCATAGGAAAGAATGGGACCTTGTCAATGCAACACACTGTCCTTTTTAATGTAAACAGAGTTACAAAAACCACTCCAAAGCAAAAGCTCCCAACCTACACACAGATATCTGCTTACAGTGTAGGCTGATAGCTGTGAACTATGTGAGGTTTTTAATTGAAGTTTAAATTTTTAGACTTTAAAGACACTAACTATATAACTTTTATGTCTTTCCTCCTATTTTTCTCCCCCACCCCCCATATTGCTGCATATTCCTTCAGAGTCAATGCAGTATTACCATTAAAACATGGGACCCCTAACAACCCATAAAGCCACTTAGGAATAGACTGTAGCACTGTTAGGTATGGAAGGGTTGGTTCTCCCTCCCTGCTACATCATTGAAGCTGCTAGTCATTACTGGCAATCAGTTTAAACCAAAAAGCTGCTGAGTAATACTTATCATTCAACTTCTTTGCAAGCACTGCTTATTAGCATGGTAGCACGTTTGGGATACTAGAAAGTATCGGTCATTGATTACCTACTATTGGGTCTATGCTGCATACCTTACAAACTATAATGGTGCTTCTCATTTTCTGATGATTTTCCTTTGTTAAATAAATGCATCAAAAGGGATTTTCATAATTCCAGCCAACATGGTGGTCCGGTGATAACAAGCAGGTAGTGAAATAGAAGGTGTCCCACAAGTCTTAGTGCAATTTTAAGCTTTGATACAGTGTGCTTGGTCCCCCGAGGGCACTGCTGCAGAAATATAAATGCCACACACTTTCAAAACATCATTTGAAAGTTTAATTAAATTCTCTTAAACTTATGTGGTTTTGTAAATTTTAAGTATTAAGCTTTTAATCTTACATTTAATGTTTTAGTTTTAGCCCCGTCTTGAAGATGGCAAAGATTGGCATCCGCATGTTAGCCAATCTTTGCCATCTTCAGGAGAGGGGCTGAAACAAAAACATTAAATATAAGATTAAAAGCTTAATACTTAAAATTTACAAAACCAAATAAGTTTAAGAGAATTTAATTAAACTTTCAAATGATGTTTGTAAGTTTGTAGCATTTATACTTCTACAAGTGTCAAAGCTTCAAATTGCACTAAAATTTTAGGGGGGATACTTTGTATCTTCATAGAAATGCCCTTTTTTAAAAATAGCTCTTTGCAGGGCTGTGCTCTATACCTGCTTTGATTACCGAAGTTTCTTTTTTTCCTAGATTTGGTAAAGGAAGATTATGAAGAGCAGTGTTAATTCACATGTAACAAATTGAAAGGAATTGGACCCTAATAGTAGTGATACGAAACAGCTTTTCTACCCTACGTGTTAACCTGGCTGCAGGTGTCCTTGGTATTTAAGAGAAAACATACAAATCTTAGTAACCCTTACCTCAGGCTTTAAAGGGCAGGGAGTTAAGTAATCAATCCTTTAGGAGATTGGTAAAATGTCAAACTTGAAATACTAACAAAAAAATCTAATGTTTTCAACTATATGAAATCTTTCTCCTACCTTCTCAAATGTATTGATGGAAATTTTGCCTATAAACAAGCATTTCTGGGCCAAGGAATACTTTTCCCTCAACATAGCAAAGCTTCACATTATATTGAGTGCTGCAGGTTCCATCACTTTTAAAGGTCAGAAACAAATGATAGGTAAATAATGGTATATAAAATATTACAATCTACCACCTCAAAAAACATTGTTTATGGAGTTTGGAGCTTGGAGAGTCAAGTATTGATTGCAGTTTTATTTTAAAAAGAATGCTACAACTTAACGTGGTTTTTCTTCCTCATGTTTATATTAAAAGCTATTAAACTCTATTTTAATTAAAATATGGCTAGTGTGTTTGTATTACTTCTCTCTTCACATAGCATTATGTCTTTGCCTAACTTACACATTTTCAACCAGCTCTGATAGTGAGGTCTTAAAGCATTTTCAAATTGACCATAAGTTGGTTTGACCCTTACCTCTAGTTAAGATGTCATTTATTTATTTTTTTTTTTTGGCTTATTATCTTTTCAACCTAAAGATAATTTATTGCACTTAAAATCATTGGCCACAGTACTTACTTAGTGGCATGGTGCATTAGATGGCATCTTTGAATTGTTCATTGTGCTAGGAGGGAAAGCATATTGGAAGATAAAATTAGGTAAAACATACCATAGAGAAAGGAATTACAGGCATACTGTAGATCAGAATGTGAGTTATTTGAGGATTTCAAGCAGTTAAACAGGTCAGAAAATGGAAGAACAGGGCGACTTTAAACAAGCCACATAATTTGACTTTAAAATGCTATTTTCAGACTTATGTTTCAGTTAGAAAGATTTCTTTGCAACTAAGACCCTAGCCACTCAGCTTGAGCACTATTCAGTAAACTCTAATAGTTGTGCTGTGTTTTCATGCACCTTATTTTACTACCTAAGGCCAAATCTTATGTTGGAAATTGCTGATTAGGATAAATGATCTGATATAGTTTAGAAGGAAAAAAAAAATCACTAAGATAGTTTGCATCCCCGTAGTAATATTGCTAGTAAGCAGAATGCTGACATACAAGTGGTTAAAGGTTAAAGAAAAAATTTGGAGAAGGGGCACTGGACATGACTCTTCTCAAGAACAAGTTTAAGTAGAATCACTAATCACTGCTTTTTCCCCTTTGGTTTTAATTCTAGAAGACAATATGGCCATTTTGATAAATGGGAAATTGAGTCAACTTGGGGTAAGAATAAACATTACTGAAAGCAAGTAGGTTCTCTGACATGGGGCATGGAAACTAGTTACTAGTAGGGTGGTAACTAGCAGTTTTCTCGGTTTTATACCTGGGAAAGATTTGTTTCCTAAACTAATAACACTATAAAAAAAAATCTGACTACCAAAAATATCTGACTATGACTCAAATTTATTCTTACTTTTTTTTCCTATTGGAATGCTGATCTCAATGAAATTTTAACTCTGGTCTGTTATAAACTGAACTTGTAAAAAGTCTTCATTACAAGGAAAAGACAAAGGTATGAAATAGGTTTGAACCAAATGAAATTATTTTTGTATGTCAAAAATGATTGCCTACCAGCAATTTCACATGATTCATCCTAAGATGACAACTTAGGGCCCAATTTTCCTGGTTAAAGAGAAATTTCTTCCATGCTGTATCAGATTCCAACCGGCCCTTTCACATTTACTCTTAATGTGCCCCGTATGCCCCCACACGTTGAAATCCAGCAGCACCGAATCCTGGTTTTATAACAGCTCATGGTTCATTTCTTGGTTTAGTTTTCCTATGTCTATAAATATACTATTCCTTGATTTTTTGTAAAAAGTGCCGAAGCCACTATTTACCGGAAAAGAATTCAGTCTGTATTCAGGTTGCGCAGTGTTTTTGGAAATGTTTAGCTACGGCATGTAGGTTAGCTAAAATCTTTCATCACCCAAGCCTTCCCTCTCACCACATCTAAAATGACTAGACTGGTCCCTCACCCAGACTCTGCATTCTTGAGTACAGAGCTACTCGGAAAAGCACTTGACAGCTGGCAGAGAAATCTCCCAGGTAAGTGTTAGTTTCAATGCAGAATCTGTAGCTTATACTCAGCATCTATCAACAAGTTAAGGATTAGATTACCTAAACCCTTAGCCACTTACTGACCTGGTCCTGACACTGTGCCAGCAAGCAATACAAAAGATCTCAGAGCCCGTCAGCCTGTTCCCCCAGTGCACAGGAGCTATCTGTTTGGTTTCTGAGGCAATTCTACTCAACTATTTTAAATGGGTTTGGCAGATAAGAGAACATGTAATGTGAAATGAATTTTAAGAATACCACTTTGTGGTCCAGGATCTCTCGGGTGCAGAAAGAACTAGGAAAGTGAAATAGTTAAGACATTAAGAGGAATCCAGAGTCACATGAAAAAAGTTTAACAATCTTTAAAAAAGAAATAGGTTAGATGTTTACTGTAACTGCTATGAAGGGAGCTAATTGATTTGATTAGAGAAATTCAGTGATAGCATCAGAACCTAAGGTCCTCAAGAAGATATCAATAGTATTTACTTCAAGACCTCAAACGAGTCTGCTAATATTTTCTTAAAACATCTATAACTTCATCTTACCCTTCTCAAGTCTACTAACCTTTACTTTCAGCCCATCTCCCCGACTCTCTGAATGGTAGCCCTTTTATCTCCTCACTGTGGGAAATGACTTCCAAAAGCAGAGTTCGGTGTTTTGTCCACCTTCCACTGCTGTTTAGGGCTCTCCCTCAGCAAGGTCACCTCAGCCTTCACCTTCTGACCTGCCAGTGTCCACTGGGGCAATGCTTGCTGTTGGTTATTACTATGACCCATTTTCAAAGTAGTATCACCAGGTTCCAAGAAATAAAGGTTTCATATGGCTCACAGGTTAACTGGCCCCTTATAATCTCTTTTAATCCCCTCTTTGAACCCGGCCCCACCGTGTTCCCCAAAGCAGCTGTTCCCAACTTACTGCACTTGCTGCCTCCCCTGACCTGCCCACAGCCTAGATGTATCTCCTTAGATACATCTAGGAAGCACCCCCACATTCCAAACTCCAAAATTCATTCCATCTAGCATTAGGAATAGATCTCACTCCTTAAGGTGGCCCCTGTAATCTAATGGAGGGGATGCCATGCCAATTCTAAAATCAACCAGCTAGAGCCAGCCCCTCCACTATCTATGCCCTTCTGCTTCAAAAGTACATTCATCTCCCCAATGAGGGGATAGAACAATTTGACTTTGCTCGGTCCTTTACATGTCCTAGTGTTTCTCAAGATGTCCCCAGACTACCTGCCTCTCATCAGTTGAAACTGCCTATGGAAAATGAAGCTTCTCTAAATGTAATGTAGAATCTTGGATTGGATCCTGGAACAGATAAAGAACAGTGGTGGGAAACCTGGTGAGATCCAAATGAAGTCTGGAGTTAACAATAATGTCCCAAGGTTGACTTGTTAAGTTTTGAAAAATGTACTATGATAATATGTTAACATTAGGGAAACATGGGTAAGAAAGGGGTAAACGGGAACTCTGAATTATCTTTGCAACTTTTTGTAAACCTAACAAGAAAAAAAAAAAATAGCAAGCAGTAGTTTCTCGGGCCTCAGACTTACTGAATCTCAGTTCCTGGAGCTGAAGCCCAGGACTCTGCATTTTAATAGCCCCAAATGAATCTTATACAGACTAAAATTTGAAAACCTAGTCTTTCCATTCCTTTTCCATTCCATGCCTGAACAGCTGCTTCCTCCATGCTTTACCTTAACCTTGCCGTAACCTGATTTAATTCTTTAGAGCCCCTGAACCCTAAGATATACTATTAATACCCCCCCTTTACAGATGAGACAACTGAAGTACTAACAGCTTAAGTAATATGTCCAGAATCACACAGCCATTAAATGGTGGACCTGGGGTTTGAATCCCTAGTCAGTCTAGCTCCCAAGTCTATGCACATAACCATTCTACTGCCTCTCAATCATGTTTCCGTCTGTGACAAACTAGAGTTCTGTAATTAAATCACTAAAAGAAGCATCATTACCAGTAATACTCAGGGCCTTGCCCTTTCCTCTCTTTTCCTTTGGTGGGAAATGAGCAATGAGAAAGCACTGGGAAGATGTGCCAACTAGAGTCCCGTACAGGTAAGATATAGATGCTCTTCTATCAGGATCCAGTTCAACTCCTATATTCTCCATTCTTCTCCCAACTGCCCTGACTTATGAACCCGTCTAATCATGTTCCTAGCACTCGCTCTGACACTGAATCACACTCTCATATTGTAATTCCCCTCTTGCTGGTTTTATCTCATCTCCCCCCAAACAAGATGGTAAGCTCCTAAATTACCTTCTCCCATATACTTACGTTTCAGAGCACTGCTGGAGAATGGACATACCAAGCACTCAGGTGAGGTGGTAGTTGGTAAACTGGCAGCTAGTCTGCATTTTGCCGAAGCAGCAGCCAGTAAGAAAGTACTCCAATGACAGTATCTCAGGTTTACTAAGCATCTTTCCAGATTATCAGGGAAGTGCCAACTCTACATCAATTTATATCCTCTTATCTGGGCTTCCTGATTGGTATTTATAGCTTAGTATCAAGTTGTAGATCTAACTGGTGAATGAGAAACAGTTTGGGAGTTCCTGCTCCCCAACCAGACACACAGAACAACAGCACCAACATCTACCCAGACAGGTGCAGTACAGAGCATAAAACATAACAGTTTCAGGCTATGCCTCTGTTTTTATGTGTGCCCCTTCATTTCTTCAAGTGAATCATGAAACAGTAACAGGACCAGCAAGAGAAACCTATGAAGTATATTCAAATAAAGCAAGTTTTCATTAGTTCTGTTTCTGGTGACTGGAATTTGCTTGATTTTCTTATTAATAAAAACATTACCATTTCTATATTAAGTACATCTGAGAAATTTGATTATGAAGTTAGAATCCACATATCTCCTCAGATACTCTTAAAAGGCAGTGTCTCCATAAAAGTATGAGGAGAAAAAGACTTGTACAGCATCTTTTTATTTTCTTTACCATTGCTTTAATGCACTTTAAAATTTATCTACATTAATTGGGAACAAAGAAACAAAAATAGACATTTCTTTGTTTTTCATAAATAACTACTCTCCATATTTGATAAAAATCTCAAACCATTTTACCTCCCACAAATATAATACATACAAAATTTTTCTGATATAAGGTCAGCAAATTAAGTATCATGAGACTAACATAACCACATACACAGCTGTTCTACTGACTTCCAGGAACGAAACAAAAAAACTTCTCAAGATGCTCTGGGTTTCCATTTGTTAGTGCTATGGATTCAGAATTATAATCATCTGCCAGTAAT